TGGGGAGGGGGGGAGGGGGTGCAACCCTGGGATTCAAAGGGTAAAAATGATAGACAGATAGAGCATCTGATAGATGCTTGCACCTATCAGAAACACTTGAGCATTTGTCCTGTATGAGAAGTGGACATCATGGGCATGATGCATGAATATCACGTCATGGCACTGCTTTTTATTATTACTGTTATTCTTCTGCATGCATTGTTTGACATTTGTAAGATGCTTAGAATGTGTAAGATTAAACTGGCATGAAAGTCACAATAATTCTTTCCTCCCTTCCCACCTACATGCAGCCCCAACAGATTATCTCAGAAGGAATGAAACTTCAGCCGAAAAAAAAAGTCTGTCCATCCTTCCTCAGATATTTTAATAATTCAATCTTTTACTATACAACATACAAAATGCTTGAGATGTTGCATTGATTATACTTTTTTAAAATCAGCAAATGAGTTTGATATTTAGATAATAACATATAACTCAAATATAAAGTCTAAGCATACCTCCACAATTCATGATTTTTCTGACAGCAGTAGTTGTTAAAATTCTGCTGCTGCGTAAAAAGTCAGCCAGTTGGCCTCCAATGGGTACAATTACAGTCATTACCATGTGTGGAACTGCAGACAAAAGGCCAACCTGAAAGTAAATACATGCAATGGAAGTCACATGCCCAAAAGAAATAGGTTTTTCTTACAATGTATGAAGTTAAGTCAATGAATAGTTGGGGGGGACACATAATTCCCTAGCGTAGGTGAATTTGGTAAGTACTTCACTAAGGGACAGAGTTGACAAATTTCCATTTGTCATCAGCTGTTACAAGTTATGGAGACATTTATCATAAAAGATTGTCAAAGGGATTGTTAAAAAAGTGCTAGTGGCTGTCCAATGGAAACAGCAGGCAAAGGGATGTAGCTCCGTAATCCTAACTGGCTGCCATGGCCTCCTATCTTTCAGATGCAGTTTTTCACCAAACAGAATGTTTGGTTAATTTTTCAACACAGTTGCAGGTTTATCTGAATATTTGCCATTGGATGAAAATTAATGTCAACTATTATATAGGCCTCTAGTTTGGGACTATCTCCCAGAATCAGTACTAAAGCACTAAAGGTTCAATTAATATATATATATATATAGGGTTGTAATGTACAAGTTGTTGGATAATAAAAAATTATTTGTATCATAGCAGTATTGATAGACAAGTTAGCTCTTTTCTCTCCTGTCCAGTAGTCCTTGATTTTCATCAGGTTATTTGTGTGTCAGGCAGCTGGCACTGACTAACAGCGATCTATATTAAGGAAAGGGTCAAATGTGCCAATTTATTAGGAATAAGCAAAGGAAAATCACTGAGAACAATCAACACGTTATCAAAAGACCTTTAGAGAAAATCCTTGGGTTTGTATCTTTACCTTACTTATTGCAAATCCAAAGACCTCTTCAAAATAAGCTGGCTGACTTATGAGCAGCAAGTAGAAAGTCCAGCTTCTGCAAAAGTTTGCCACAACAATTGCATAAACCGGCATCGAAGTGAAAAACTGCTTCCAAGGGGTGCTGAATCTCTAGAAGAGAGAATGCCAAAGCTTTAGAGTGATTGGAGGCAGTGGTTCAGCTGAGTAATGTTAGACATCAGTCTTAAAGTTCAATTTGTCATTCATGTGTATTATTTGTGGAAAAGCATTTCCACTGTAGAAAGCAATATTTTAAAAACAAACATGAACAAGTAACCTGTCTTGTTGTTATTTAAATAATGAAAAGGAAAGGATTCTGCAGCAAGCAACGTCAACCCCACTGGGTTCAGCATGCCTGGACCAGTCCAGGAACCCATGCTAGGCCCCTTTGTGCTGTCCTAAGGGCTCCCTCAGTGAACATCTGAAACTGGCAGGCTGGGTGGCCTTGAGATGCAGCCCTAATTCCGCTACTAGCTGAAAGGCACCTGAAACTTCAGTAGTAACTGAAATCACAATTGGTGGTGGTGGGGGAAGGCATACTGATAGAAATAGCACCTCTAACAACTGCTTCATAGTACAGTCCTGTGCATATTTGTGGTATTCAGCTTTAATCCTTCTTGAAAATCATCTGAATTTAATACTAAAACGCAAACTTGGTACAATCTTTTTTGTTTTCATACAAAGAGCCTGAGAAAAAATTAAAAAGTTTTTAGGCTACAAGAAACAAGAAAAGAAGCATTTTTACCCCAACCTATTTGATTTATACCATCTTATGATTTCAAAAGCCTGGGATGAGAGATGGGAGACTGAAAACTCTGTCCACATCTCTTTTTCTCTCTATTTGCATTCACATATTAAGAACGTTTCGTGATCGATTCTAAAAATCACATCAGGCAAAATCTGAAATGTCTAACAAAAGGCTTCAGGAGCAACATACTGTCACCTAAGCATAAAATAGGGCATTAAATCAACAAAAGTTCAGGAGTAGGATTTTCTTGTGTTAGAACCTTCACAAACATTTAGTTCCAGTAATGATCTGACAAAATGCAGATCTGTTGTGAATTAATGTTTTCTACACTAGCTTTGGACAATAAATTATTTTCTAAGAGCGGGAAAAAGTATGAAATGAGGCTACAAGTAACTTACACTGGTATTGATTAAGTTGGCTCCTCCTATACTAGTTTCTATGTAAATTCTTTCCTCTGTGGTTATTGTTGGATGAACAGCTGGGCTCTCATATGCTTGCAGCAGCCAGAATATATACCAGAATATCCCGAACATTCCTTTAGATGGAGAAGGAAACAGGATTTTGTCAACCATTTAAAATATTTTGGATAATCCAAACCCAAAACTTTTGTCAGCATTATTTCAACACAATTTTAAAACCAATTATAGTAGAAAACCAGTTAATTTACCATTAATGTGAAACTAATGACCCCCTCCCAAAGAAAGATTATTACTTTATCTATGATACTTTTTGTTCACTGGGTAACTTACCATATGTATAGAAGACAGATGACCATCCTATATATTGTACTAATACACCTGCAAGTGGCATGGCAACTACTGCCCCAGCATAAGAACCTGTAACAAAAAACATATCCATATGGGTCAACAACTGTATTCCAACATACCTAACCCATGATATTATTCAGAATAGGTGTTCTGTTTGGAAGAGCATTACGTTGATAATTGAATACATCCTGTTTTGCAGTAGGAGAGACCAAAACATTGTAGAAGAGTGTGGGATTTATGGATTCTTGTATTAAGAAACACACTTGTGTTAGGCAAGATTGCAGCTGCTAGTGCTGCTGAAATATAGATAACTGAGAATGCACTTTGAAATACTACAACCCATGTTTCCCAACATTAACATGACTTCAGATAAAAGACCTATCCCCCATTGTTTGTTCATTTATTTCATTCGATGTAGGTACCACTTGACTCCATACTGACTCTGGGCAATTCACAGTATAGCAAAACAAGATAAAAACACAGTACGAAATAGATAGACAAATGGGATTTGGCCATATACAAAAAATCTAGATTGACTAGGACTAAAATTTTCAGGGTTGTTGTTTAGTCTGGGAAATAATAATAATAATAATAATAATAATAATAATAATACCCCTAGAAGAAAGCCATAGCAACCCAATTCCATATTGTTGCCACCAATATGGGCCCTGGGAATCTTAGGGAACACCTACTTGAGCTAAATACTGCCTGCTCAGCCTGGGTGAATAGGGAGTGCCTGTTGAAGATTCCCTCCTTTTATGAGGTTCAACAGGAGGGAACCTTGAGGCAGACATTCTTGAGGGCTGTTCCCTTCCTTTGGATTAGCTGTTCCCTGATGCAAGAATGGCCCCCACTCTTAGCACCTTCCAGAGAATAATTAAAATCTGGCTTTTCCAGGAGGCCTTTGGTGATCAAGCAGCTAGAGGAAGTTCTGTGCCATTATTGTTTCTTATTGCTTCTGGTTTTATTGTTTTCCATTGTATTATTCCATGTACTATGTTTTGATTTTGTACATGCCTAGAGCCGCTGGAGTGAGGTGGTTTATAAATTCTATAAATAAAACAAAAACTTCATGGTCATGTCCCTGGAATCACCATTGCTCAAAGGAGACTCTATAGCCCAATGCTTTATTTGGAAATATGCCTGCCTGCCCAGAAAAAAGACAAAAGTGTGTTGATGTAGTAGATCACACCGTGGAAAGCTAGAAGAGATGGTGGGAAGGAATCTGAATGGTTTGTTTTCTGGTGTGTGTGTGTGTGTACTCCTCACACACACACATATACACACACACAAACACACACACACACACACTATGCCTTCCATTCTGAGACGGTGTCTATGTCTTGCTCCCAAAATTTTAAGTGTGCCTTTTGGTCTTGAATACTGGGGATTCCTTTCTACAGTACTGTAATATGAAAGAAATCAGAACACTACTGCTGTTAATATTATGCAATTACTAGCAGGAAAAACATTGCTAGTAGTAAATGGTTAAAGAAAAATAAATGGCATTTGGATCCTATTGAGAGCTCATAAAGACAAGCCATGAAATTCTAGTTTGGCATTTACTGGTGTTACTAATTAATTATTCTGAAAGATGCATAGACACAGGTGTTCTTCTTTTTCTCATTTGAAATTAGTTCATATTATGTTAATAGACAGTTAACTTATGTATGAACTGTTGGGCATCCTGCAAACATTTCACCTGGAACTGCTCTTGGATTAGTTCATTAGCAAATTAGTTTAAAATGTTTATCCATACTTTTAATATTGTACTTAAAAGGTATTTTCCACCAACATTTTTAAACATAGTTGAATCAAATATAATACATTGCTTAATTATTTTTTTAGGTTATTGTCATCACACTGATTAACATTCAACTTGTCTGGAAATAAACCAAAACTTTAAAAGAATAATAAATAAAAGAGCAGCCTAACTCAGAAAGGAAATGAATTAATGTGCAAAGATGATGTTATCAATGAGTTATAGAATGGTTACATGAAGTTATAGGAGGCTACCAAAGCTGGGGGAGAAAGACAAAGAAAAAGTGGAGCAAGAAAAAAGTGTGATTATTGATTAGTGTTTTCTCAGAGCACATGGAATGATGAACTAACCAACTCTATATTAGCTTAGCATTTGGTTGTGTAAATTGAGCCTTGTGGTTAGTTTATGGTTCAGTATGTTATGTGAACCCCCAAAATTGAGTTGAATAAACCACAGGTAAATGAGTTGTATAAGCAAAGCCATATCTGCTTGATATGAGTAAGTGGGATAGGTTAAAGCAACAAAAATTTGAATTGGTAATGAAATATGGAAAAATAAACTTTAGAGAAATTTAAGCATTAAAAAAAAAAAATTCCCCTAATTGAAATTGCTATAAAGAAAGTGAAACTGTATGTGCTGACATGTATTATAAGATAAATAACAATTTTATGCCAGATTCAAATGGCAAGATATATGTCCTTCAGGTACTAAGAAAGTTTCTTTGGCAATTAAAACAATTGAAAAACAATTGAAGACCTATTATTTTTATAATCAGCATAGACTTTTTCTTTAAATCTATAATGGAAATATTTTCTCAAAACAAAAGAAGAAGAAAAATCAACATACCACAAAATGAAATAGTTGCCAGCCTGCTTCTTTCCAGAGGAGGAGCCCATTTACTCCACATCCCGTGGCATGCTGGATAAGTCACCCCCTAGCAAACATTTTTGCACAGCATTCAATTTCTATATTTAAGATTTTCATTTGTGCTCACATTTTTACTATCTGCAAGTAATTGGAGTTTTTACCCCTTTTTGGACAGCAATCTTATGCATAAGGAAGAAATCTCACTTAACATGAAGGGATTGACTTCAAATGAATGTGTGTGTGTGTGTGTAAATAATACAGTACATAATGGAGGGGAATTAAAGGAAATAGTGATTTATTGGGGTGGTAGAATCCCAGTTCTTTTATTTGGATAAGCTATTATAGATTCTATCTGTATTTCCTGAGTCTTAAATATCACAAATCAATATCTGTGAGGATATTTTATGAAAATCCTGAATGGATCTAAGATCCTGCCCCAGGACATGAAGCTTTGGTTAAATAGATTTAAGAATGGAAAGGATTTGAAGGATCCAATTATTTCAAATACTGCTTTTTCTCAATAGAAACCTACCTGCTATTAGTTGAAGCTGGCAGTATTAGTTGAAACTGCACTTTATATTTTCTGACCTTCCAGAGTTCACATGGCTGCAAATTAAACTGTCTTATTCAATTCAATTTTTTTTGCAGTTTCATAATAATAGCATATTTAGCCCCCGCCCTTTGGAACATCTTGCCCCCGGAGGTGAGACAGGCCCCCTCACTCCCAGCCTTTCGGAGGGATTTGAAGACCTGGCTCTGCCATCAGGTCATCAGATACGGGGTTGGCTAGCCCCCTAGAGGCATGGTGTTGCTTCCATCGGCCTCCTGGATTCTTCCTCTTCCTTTATTCTGTGTAAATGTGTTTTCTTATAAATTTTAACTATATATTTATTT